CTTTTCTGAATCACCCGTCCCCAAGGGTATTATGCTATTTTATTTCCTCTAGGAAATTAAGCACATCGAAAATAGGTTCCCTTCCTTTCACGAATGTACATCACGCATGTGAAAGCGTGATCAAACTGATTAATTATCTATTTGTCGTGATGACAAGTTTAAATATTAGTTATATGTGATTCTAAATATGTCATTTCTGTTAAAGCTTAACTGCAGCCACAGGGTGCTTTTCATTGCATCCATTGATGGATCCGTGAAGATTTGTACCCATCAATTTTTAAAAATTAGCTGCATTAGAACTGTGTTTCTTTACTAAACTAATGTTAAAAATAGTTGCCAGGAATCACTATAAGCTACTGGTTTTTTTTCTTAAAAAAAAAGTAGCACATCACACTACATGCTATGAAAAAAAGTAGCGACTACAGTAGTTTCACTATTTGTAGTGTACTACTTCTGACCACCAGACTCGTGGTAAGACTGATAGGGAAAGTCACAATATTTGCAGTAATTGAGTTTTGGAGTTATTGATGAATCATTTTAAAGGAAAAGAAATTTCTGTAATTGGTCACATATTTTTATTCGGCTGACTCAATAATATATTTTTCAAGAAATCTTAGAAAAATTTCTTGCTAAGTCTGAAGAGGTTTATATATATAGAACATGGATGCTTTTTAACAATAGACCAATCATTTATTAAACAATTCATTTTTATAAACGGGATATCGATAATTCCAGGCTTGCAATAAACAAGTTTAACTGTATATGTGTACAGTTGAACTTGTTTATAGTAAGAATATAAAGACATAGGCAATTCACTCATTAAGTTACAGACGGTCAAAATTATCAAAAATAAAAGCAATAAAATGAACAATAAAGTAACAAAACACGGGTTATTATTGCTTCTTATTAATACTGAAAGGAAAATAGTGGTATCGTATATTCCAGCGCATAACGCGCCCCGGCGTACAACGTGCACCCGTAATTTCTAATACTTTTTTTTAAAATTTTAAGATATACTCTTCGTATAACGCGCACGAAAATTTGGATTGTTCATGTGCAATATCTCGTCTTTCAAGATCGTAAAAAAAAAGTTTTTCCCCCTATCTTTTGCAAAAATAAAAGAACTGAATTTGACATGTATGTGAGGGTAGAGTTGAAAGAGTAATGTGATTCTGAGAAAAGAGATTGTTGTATTCAGCAGTGCAGGTGTGTGCAAGAATGTCGTTCCCCACATTCCAGAAGTAAGGGGGGAGGGGTATCTGGAATGCTGTCTATTGTGTATGTCTCAAAAGCATATCTCAAATCAGGAGACAAATCGTTATTCCTCTTCAGCCAATCGCACCATTCGATGCCCTGCCTTTGAAAAGTAAACATTATAAGCTTTAAGATTTCAGTGTAGTTTTTAGTAGTAGACATGGCTCCTATCAAACGAAGCAAACACAGAGCTGGATGTAAATGCAAAGTAATTCAATTTGCGAAAGAAAATGGAAATCGGGCTGCGGCGAGACATTTTGGTATTGGCGAAGCTCTGTGCGTGAATGGAAGAAAAATGAAGAGAAAATAATGGATATGCCTAAGGATAAGTGTGCATTGCGTACAGGACTAACAAAATGGCCAGCGTTAGAGAACAATGTAGAAAACTGGGTTTTGGAAAATCGGCAAAATGGCTTGATTGTAACAAGAAACTGTGTTCGCTTGTTTGCTCTAAAATGGGCAAAGATTAATCCACATGAGAGTGAAAATTTCAAGGCTACTGTGAGTTGGTGTAGCCGATTTATGGCGCGAAAAAATTTAGTTCTACGCGAAAAAACCAAAGTATCACAAAAACTACCAAAAGACTTGGATAGCAAATTGTTAAGTTTTCAAAAATATATTATAGAACTGCGAAAAAAAAAGGAATATTTACTTTCGTAAATAGGAAATATAGATGAGACCCTAGTCATGTTTGACATGATCGGTAATAACACAATTGACTTAAAGGGAGTCAAAACTGTCAACATAACAACAACGGGACATGAGAAATTTAATATTTCACCATAGCCCTTTCTTGCTTAGCGGATGGAACGAAACTAAAACCAATGGTTATTTTCAAAAGAAAAACTTTTCCCAAATGTAATTTTCCTAAAGGTATTTTTGTTCATGTCCACGAAAAAGGCTGGATGGACGAAAATGGTGTGGGTAGAAAATGTCTGGCAAATTCGTCCTGGTTGCTTAAAAAAACAAGAAAGCCTTTTAGTGTGGGATATGTTTAGGTCCCACCTCACAAATAATACAAAAAAATTGTTGAAAAAATTTAACACCGATATGGCAGTTATTCCGGGCGGATTGACATCATTAGTTCAGCCATTAGACATCTGCTTAAACAAACCATTTAAAGCAAATTTAAAAAAACAGTGGAACAGTTGGATGTTGGAGGGCGAGAAAACCTTTACGAAAGGAGGACATTTGCGTCATGCTAGTTTGGAAACAGTGTGCGAATGGATATTAAAAGCATGGGATGAAATTAAGCCTGAGATGGTTAGAAAATCATTCAAAAAAGGCAGCATTTCAAATAATCTGGACGGATCAGAAGATGACTGTTTATTTATGGATGAGGGTAACACAGATGATGAAGACGAAACAAATTGTGATGACGTACCTGAAGAAATAACGGAAGACGAATATGATGAACTATTTATGTAATAACGAAAATCAATAAAGCATTTAGGTAAAGGTACGTTATTTCTTTAAAATAAAAGTATTTTTCTATATTTAAATTTTTTTAATCTAAAATTTTTTATATTCGGCGTATACGGCGCACCCGTAAATTCCAATGTTATTTTTTGTATCAAAAGTGCGCATTAAACACCGGAATATACTGTATCTTTGTTTCAGATTCAATTTTTTGCCTTTATTTCAGCAATTGTTTAATGCAAAACATTGATGGAACTAATTACAGTCTATACTCTTCAGTTATAGACTGTAATTAGTGTATAAATGCTTAGCCCACCATTTTTACGACCATTTCTAGGGTAAAAAAGTTAGTGGAATATAAATTACTTCACTTTGATGATCAAGTGCACTGTCATACGAACATTTGCATGAAGTGCCATATGTTTGCATTAGTTTAAAAGGATGCATTTACACTTTGTCAAAACTTCAAAGTTACAACAAAGCTATGCATTTTTTCTTGTTTGAAATTGCACTAAATTTTTTTCATGATACATTAGTTGCTGTGTGGTTTAAATTTGAAACCTTAACCAGTGTATTGTTTTTAATGCATTTTCCACCAAAAAAATACATATCTGCAGACATATTAACACAAAAAAGATTGTGCCATTATCAATTATTCCATTAGTTACTGAATTCTGATTAAAGTAAAACACTGCTTTATTATAATACGTTATGCGTTTTTTAGTTATGAGTACATATTTATTGTATTTTTGGGCATTTACGATATAACAACCTCACATTATAATACTCCCTTTTGTCTAGACGATAGGGATTGTATAGATATTTCTCTTATGCGGTACAAAAAATTAAAGCTACATTGACAATAACTAATGAGACCCATCATAAAACACAGCTCTTGTTTTAAATGTTATTAAAAGAAATTTATTGTGAAACATAATTATTTTTGTTACTGCTGTATTGTATATGTACATCAATATCTAACATTAATAGTTTGTTTAAGGTGTAGATTCAGGGACTCCTTGGTTTGGCAATAATTTTCATTCAGTTTTGCCATAACACAGTTTCTGGCTATCATGATATTCTTTGCTTTCAGTGGCGTTATTCGGGTAATCACAATGTTTGTTTTCCGTCATGTGATTCTTAGTTTTTATTTATTTATAGATATTGGTTTATTTTCACATAGCTATGTATAAGAGGAGCTACTGATTGTAAACTATTACCAATAATTTACGCATGACATCAATATCTAAACAAAAGAATTTCTAAAGCATCCAAACATATAAAAAGAACTGAGAATTAATGGTATGCATTATCAATGAATTTCAATAAGTTTATAATTTTTCTTATAAAATAAAATTAACAACTTTTGTTCAGCCAAGACTTTTGTTACATAATCAGTTTAAATTTGTCTAGTTTGAAAAATAAGAGATAAATGTAAAAACATACTAAGTAACAAGTTTTAAACTTGATAAGGAATATTTTAATTTTGTTTAGATTTCTTTATAAACAATCTAATTTTAATTAATAAAGGTTAGTAGTATTAAAAATAATATCCTGCTTATGCCAGTGTTATTAAAATGTTAATATAACCACCAGTTACAAATCTGACGAATTTTAAGCATGAATGTGGAAAATTTTAAGCATGGTTCACTATTAACAACAATAAGTCACACCATAAACATCAGTATGACTTACAAAAAAGTGAAATACTCATGCAATAGCTTGTAAATATATTATTTATTACAATTGATATACCAATTAAACTAATTTCTACTTAAATATATCTCTAAAGTTTCAAGTTATTGATAATTCAATAAAACTTATAGGAAAATACTTGTTAACTTCATTAAAAAATTACTATTATTATAGCCATTAGGAAAAATTGATATACTTGACAATTTTTAACAAAAAAATTCTAATACTGCAAATCTAAAAAACTTCCTTTTGCTACCATGAAAAGTTAGTGGATATATAAATATGCTTAGTTTAAAGCAAGTAAAAAGTCAATGTTATCACAGTTAAAGCACAAAAACAAATAACTATAGGCTAGTAAAGTAGTATATGTTTCAGTACCTGAATGCAATTGGCAAAACTACATCCCCATCATCAATTTTTGTGTAGGGTAACTGGAAGTCTGGGTCAGCTGTGCTTGAAACTCTTCCAAAACTTTTTATCCTTTTTCCTTTAGAAAGCTTACTTTGAGAATCAAGAGGCATTTTCAATCAAATTTAATTCTGTGGAAAAAAATATAAAAAATTATACACAGGAGGAAACAAAATAAATGGAAAGCAATTAAAAAGTCTTCAAGTTCCTTGCTGTGAAAAATATTTCACCTATCATATTAATTGTTTTGAAAATCAATTTTTTCCAATACAGTCAATGGTCCATATAATTTCTCAAAAATTTTCTCTAGTGAATGGAAAATTTTTATAATTGGAAGTGCAAAAATGTTTAACACTTTTTGTAAAATGGCTTTTTTATTGATTTTTTTAATAAAAAAAACAAACAAACAGAAAAGTTAATTTTGGTCACTTTATACGAATAAACAGAGGAACTCTGACATTCTAATAGGTATTTCAAGCACATAGCATCAATGGAATATAAAATCAAACATTTGGAATAGGTTATGATGATATCTCTTATCTGATAAAATTAATTAAAGTCCATAATATGTAAGCTTTTGAAAAATAAAAAAGGCGATTTTTATTAAATAATTTCAATGATCACATTTATTTGTCACAGATATTAACAGATTTTGTTTAGATATAACAGCACTGAAAAGTATATTTTATATTTAAACACATATAGGCTAATTTTTTATATTTGACAACAGAACTATGCTCATTTTTTAATACTATTAAAAAGAAAAAGAACTCCTAGGTACATTTAAAATTGGATTTCTAGACTAATACAAAAGATCTATTTTATCTGAATCTGTGGACATAGTTCATAACAGGTTTGCCGTTGAATCTGTAAAAATAACAAATATAATTATGAGCAAAACAGAGTTAAAAAGTTTCGTATGGTGCAGTTGGTATGTTTATTGTTACGTATGACATTGTTTAAAATATTTTTAAACCTTTAAAAAATTATTGAATCTAATCTATTTTCTATATGTTAAAGTGAAGCATTTTCTACAATTCTCTCAAAACTTCTTGGACTGAATCAAGAGGAATGCATCATATTTTTAACTTTCTAATGTAAAATATCTTTGATACAGACAAAAACCATTATAGCATTATTCTCCAGAAGGATTAAAGCTTTTCAATAAAACTAATCAGAAATAATCTAAGAATGTAAACAGTATGTTCAATAAGGGGAAGAGAATAAGTAAATTTAGTCATTGGTTCGAAGGACCAATAACTAAAGGTATTAATAGTCAGATAAAAATTTCACTGGTATATACATTCACTTTTATAAATACATTTTCTTAAATATAATATCACCAATTAAGGCATTTATTTTTGCTATGATCTGGTAGCAACAGAAAAGCTGATATTTAATAATAATATGAAATAATCATTCATCTTTTATTTTTTGATAATTCTCTGCATGTTTATGGTTCATAATCTTGATCAATGAGAGTTGAATTTTAGAGTTGAATTAGAGTTGAATTAGAGTTGAATTAGTTGAATTTTGCTGTCAGTTTAACATATTTAAATAAATAAAAAAAAATTATTAAACCTATAACTATTAATCGAAATATAATTTTAAAAGAAATTCTTTAATAATGACTATTATTGGCACATTTGTCCAAGTGGAAAATAAAAATAATTACACTATTTTCATAAGATTCAAAGCTAGAAAAGTTTTAAAATGTTTCAGGCAGTATTTAAACAACTTACTTTTAAAACATCTAAAGTTGCTCACGAAATTATTAATAAAATATAACACGTAACTTCATTTCTTAACAACTTTCAAATTAAATTAATAATATTATTAATTATTGAATTGTTTTTGCCTGCAAAGAGTTTAATACTAATACACACAAACTTTTGAATCAAATAAAAATTTCTACTAAGTTTTATTGTAAGGTACAATTAATCTTAACTTAATACACAATTATTTTATGTAATAATAATTACACAAAGAATATTCATTTTTTGTTAATGTTTGTTATAGGCTGAATAACAGATCATTATTCAGCCAGACCAAAGCTTTGGTGATGTAGCTAAAGCTACAGCCTTTCAGAAGCTGTCCCATCTCTATTAATAACTCAAAATAATTTAAACAGTAAAATTTATAATCTATCTAAAGTTCTCTCCATAGACATACAAAATTCCCTCTCCAGACAAATGTTTTATTTAACAAAATGTTAGATAAGTACATATGGTGTAATAAGTACTGCCTTAGTGTAATAAATTGTCTTTTGTTCAGTGAGGTGCATGTACTGAATCATTAATCTAAAGGAATAATTTCATTTTGTTATTTGTCAGTTACTTTCAGGTTTTTCTTTACAATAACCATAAATGCTCTTTTTAATTACAGCAAAACCTTTGTCCACAACCGCCTCAAATAACAGCAAAGAATGACTCGATATTTATGGTACTAAACGTCTTCCGTAGGACTTACACTAAGGGAACCTTTAACCCACTGACGATTCAGCACGTAAAAATTCGTATTTTAACCTGCAGTCTTCACCACATAGCAAAACCGGTTTTTCTATGTTATTAGATAGAGTAATAGTGTATTGGGAAGAAACATTCTCCCAATCTTGCCCCTTTGCTAAACTGCCAGTGGGTTAAATAGCAATTTTTGAACACTGTTCACTTGTTAGCATAAATTATATAACAGGGTGTATCTTAGCCCAATTTAAATTTTTCATCTCATGTCTCCGATAGTTTTAACAGATTACTAAACATATTTTCTCATATCGGTCATTGCATTCAAGGCATTGCCAATAATTTTTACACATTCATACAACTGTCAGTCATTGATTTCGCAGGTTCAATTGGGTCTACTGTAGGTAAGCTGCATCTTTCAAGGGTTGTTGGCACTATTCAGAGAAATTTTGTTGTATTAAAACTAAGCATTCATACAAAAGTCAATCATAGTGTTGATAATTGGATTCTGCTTCCTACAGATAAGGTACAGCTTTCATGGATGATCTGCAGGAATATTTTTCTAACATACACAATGAATGGTAATTCTTGATGCATCTTCAGTTTATCATAGAAATAGCCAATGAAATAATGTGCACAAGCGCCTGAGTATTTGTTGAACAATTAAATTCTTTTCTTTATGTTTTAGTCATTGGAAAAGTGGATGTCTGAATAAGAAACTTATTAATAAAATAAACAAAATTTGAGTGATTATTCCAAATTTCAAACAAAAATTCTTTATATTAAAGTTATTAGGATAGTAAAAACAGAATAAGCATGTGCAAATTAGCTTCACTATATGGCTGTTGAAAAACGCAAGTGATCATTTTAATAAAAAGTTATAGTAATAAAGTAAAATTTTTATTTTTTTCCAGCTTTTTTACTATTGCCTAATCAGAAATTTATAGATTTTTGTTTCAGACATAAAATTATATCATGGGGATTCTTTTAAAAAAAATTGTGAGTAATGCTTGTATAGTTTTGTGTAAACAATGAAATGCCAGGCAAGTTACAATAGTTGTTTGTTTTAGAGAGCAACACAATTATTTCAGTCATTTCTTAATTTTTTTTCTTCTTTTTCTGAACAACCAATTTGTCTATAACTTGGAACAGTGGCCACCTATTGACAGCGGTGATAGACCATTGTTTGGAGTTGTTATTGTATGTATTATTAACAAGTAATGACATGATAAAGTTTAATTAGGTTCCCAATATTCTTATTTGTACAACCAGCTTATCAAATAATAAATGGTAAAAAAATTGCATTAGTTTTGCTGAAATTATGAGAATCTATTAATTTTTTTAAAAATTGTTACAAGTTATTTGTTAGGAAGTGAAATTTTAATAACAGATATGAAGTTTGATAAAATAAAATACAATTTCTTATACAATTATTGGCAAAAGTAGATTATAAGCACGTGTAGAAATAGACAAAATGCTAATATAAATATTAATATAAAGGCAATGTTAATTACATAAATAACATTCCCTACATAGTTTAGATGCAAATAAATTTGCTAATATAAATAGGGATTGTAAGACAGGAAAAGAAAGAACATTAAGAGAAAACATAAACAGCATATAAAACATACATGTTATGAATGGTGTTTTCAATAGAAATGTAAACAAAAACAATCTCGAGCTCGGCACCTACTCCAGTTCCAGTTAAAAGGTTTGCAGCTGCTTACTGTTATTCTGATAGGCGATGTTTTCAAACGGATAATTTTGTTTTCAATAAAAGAAATAAATTAGATAACTTCTGAGCTCAAATCTGCCATATTTCATAAGATATTAATGTTAATATATAATTCTGGTGAATTTGAAGTGAAAATTTGTTTTAGTTTTTTAGAGATATATTGTTATAAAAGGTGACATGGTTGTTAGATTTTGAATAACTCGCTTTTTTGGCAGTCTTGATATGGCCTCTTTCCATAAGTTTATTACTGTTTGTTCTTGTTGCAAGCTGTGCACCATCTTACGTTAGTGTTAACACTTTTAGCATTGTAAACACCAGTATTGTTAGCATTGTAAACACGAGTAATAAGTAATCAAATACATTTGGGTACAATAGACCTCTGGTCGATTTGCCCTGCTCGTCAGAGCTGTCCAACCTCTAAGTCTAAGCAAATACATTGTTTGCAAGAATCTCAAAACACAATGATGCCAAATGGCTTTAAAATACAATGGAAACAGTAACTCGGAAATCTAGGCGGTACTAAGCTTGCAGCGTTCCCTAGTGTAGAAAACACCATCCATAAACAGCATAATACACTTTGTTTTAAAAAATTACAAAAACTGAAGTAATATAGCTCTAAACATTTTATTTAAAAAAATTAAAATATAAAACAAAGGTTTTCCAATATTTTAATATAAGACTGTCATTTTTTAAGTCTAATAATTTTTAAAAAATTAATAAATAAAAACACATACCTACTCACAACATTAAATGAGAATAATGAGAAATAGCCTCTTCCAATGCAATTTCTATTTTCATTTCTAAAGAGCTGTATATTATAGCTGTAAGAGAATGGTAATTTATAAATAAAGCATGCATATATTACATTATTTAAAACATAGTAAAATGTATATATATTTAAAATTTTAGACGATAATAATAATGAATGAAAAAAATGATATGTAGATAAAATGAATAAATAAAATTCAATAAAATAGATACTATATTTCCATATTCTTTACCCAATTTTTAAGGATAGATTTAATAAAATCATTTATTACTGCATAATAAAAAATAAAGTATTAAATACCAATAGTTATTAAAAAGATGATTATATTTCATGCAATGTTTTTAGTTAGAGCTATTAATACCTTTTTTCTAATAAAATCACATATTTTAAAATTGTCTTAAATATGAATATAGTTAGCATATTTTAAAGCATTATGCAATTATAATATGAAAATAAATGTTATAACTTTTTTTTTCAAAAATTGAAAATGGAGCTATTTTTAAATAAATTAAATTTTTATAGGTAGTATTTAAATTTATAATACACATGACATAGTTCATATTGACATGTGACCCACATTTCCACTTCAAACTATAGCCACCTCAGTTACATTCTTGATGAGTGAGTAAGAATAAAAATAACTTTTGAATTGATTAAGGTTTAAAAAATTTAATAGGTACAGTGAAAGCTCAATAATGCGGTTCATTTGATAAAATTTTAAAATTTGATAACATTTTAAGATAGGAAATTAATTATTTTTTTTATTATGAATAAACAGTTATTATATGGGTACTTATTAGCATTAAAATAGTGACAGGTAAATAAAATATAAGAGGATCATCATAGAATAAAGAAAAAATTTCAAAAAGCCGATGAAACAAAAACTATTTTTGGAACGAAAAAAATAAATTTTTTTTTCGAAATAAGTAGCTTATCATACAAAAATGCCAAACGTAAAAAATCTCAATTTCGAATTTTTTGTCGCGGATGCTAATTTTTCTATTGCATGGTAGAATAAGTTAAAACAGTTTCTGTTTTCTAGTGTCTGTTAACCCACCTCAGAGGAATGGAGATTAAAGTTTTTCTCATATTTATGCCTGCTAAAAAGTTATATTCATGCCGGAAGAATGCTATCATAGAAACAGAACAGAGGATGACAATAATAAGTTAAATTTCTATGCCACAACACCAAGTTTTTAAGTAATATGTCTTTAACAAAAGGCAACAAGGATCGTATGCGAATTACTTGGGGATATTTCCGTATTGTGATCTTGTTGCGCCAACTTCAATCGCCAAATAGATTTTAAACCCACAAAGTTTTTTAAAAAAAACTTATAGAGGTTTGCTCTAAGGTGACAGGGAGTAATTCTTTTCCAGTTGGTGCCTTTCCATGAAGTCTTTTTTTAATTTTTTTTTATAGTTTCTAGAGGACTGTTGCTCAGAAATTGTCAAGACTCAGCGATTATTCTGCTATATTGGCGATTACCAATTATTTTCTCCACATAATAATTTGATGGAAAAACCAAACAAAAATAAAAAGCATGAAACTAGGCAAAAAAAAAGAAAAAAAAATAGTATATATAAATGCACTATTCATGCACAGGTTGTAAGGAACTCTTATAGTAATTTATTTCGAGAATATTAACTCTAAGAAAATTGATAATATTAAGAATGAAAAGTTAGTGATAAAACGAATAAAAAAAATATTACTAATAAATTCAATAAAATTCCAGAACTGTGGAAAAATAAATTTATTTACATGATTCAATGATAGGTACATATTTTTACCAAGGGAACGATGTATATATTTAGTAGAGTAAACTATTATTTTTAGGGTTTTTGTTTATTATTAGTTTTAATGATTATTCGGAAACGTTTCTGGCTACTCAGTTCTGGTAGGTTAATTTCTGGCATAAAAAATAAAAGCACCATAAAGAACATTCTCTTTGCTTGCTCTATTCACAAATGCCAGCGGAAGTCAGATTATCTGATTAGCACAAGTCTGTAAATTTTTACGAAAAGCGAGAACGGTCCTTGAAAGTGAAAATTCAGTTTTCATTGTATCAGACGCACATTCAATGCACCAATCAGGTTTCTGATGTTTTATTTTGGTTGCTGACTGATGTTTTATTTTGGTTAGAGCATCTAGTATGGAATATCCAATGTTTCTCCCAGTTTTCACACCATGCTTCCCAATCATTCAGCCTCTGAAGCCGATGGGCCGTATCGCGCGCGAATACGTTTGCTTATGAGGAGCATCATCTCACGCATGTGCACATTCACAAAATGTTTCGGATAAACTGAGAATGGCTTCTTTAATGGCGATCGAAATGGGCTGCAGGTGGCGTAGAGTAGAACGCTCTACCTATGGCAACACTTCACATGCTTTCCCCATTAGCCTGTGGAAAGTCATAGAGGAAGGAAGTACGTTAGTTTCTCTCTTGATTTTCATACAGATTAAAATCCTTTAAGTTGGAAAACTATATAGAACTGAAAACTACATTAAACATATTTCTGAAGAAAAGTATCACAGGAATTTTAAAAAATATTTTTATTTAGTAAAAAGGTAAAATATTAAGAAAAGAGAAAATATCGTAGAACATTCCTATGCAACTGAAAAGAGGAGGCGAGGGGAGGGAGAAGGGCTAAAAGCATGAAACCGGTCTCTCCCCAGATGGCGTATTCGAGTGTTGCGATCGCCAAAAGGGGATCCCGCTTACTAAGGGAGAACCTCAGGGGAGTGAGCTCAAACCTCGCAGCCTTCGCACGTTGCTTTTAATTTTTGAATTACGCAAAATGAAGATTTCGATGGTAGTAGAATAATTCGGCGATATAATTTTACTTAATTTTCTGTATAGCTGTAAAGCATTAAAACATGGAATATTGTTTATTGTTACAACATACATTTTCAGGCTTGTGTGCTCAATTAAGGCTTATAAACCTTTGTCAAGTAGAAGAATGGATAGCACAATACAGAGAAGGATGTCACAAAGAATGCATCGAACCCGCCACTTCCATGCTTGACAGACCGTTTGGCGGGCGATACCGCTCAGCCAGGGAGGCCCCAATATAGAATAATGGTTTTACAATGCTATTCCATGCATTATTTACTTAGCAATACCAAATAAAATTACATTAGCGAATTATGCTACCATCCATTTTCCTCCCTCTTACTCCAAAGTATATTTTATGTTAAGCAGATTTTTTTGAATACTTCAAATTTAATTAAGAAATAATACTATATTGCAACTTTTATTGATATTTTTTTTTCTTCATACAATGGGTTTTCTGACGAATTTAAGACCATTAATAATTTTCAAGTTTTTAATTTAAAAATGTATTCTTAATTTTTTTTTAGAAATGAGCCTATTTTATCAAAATTTCAATTGAATTTGTTAGTTTGTGAAACATGCTTTTTAAAATTCGTAACTTAAGCCATTTGTAATTTCACAATTATAATTCATTATTTATATTCTGAAATTATATAATAAAAACCACACTACATAATTTGAAAGTTAAACTTACATTTGAATTGAGTTGAAATTTTACCTTTAAAAAAAGTTTTTTTCTACTATATGTCATTCAACTTCAAAAAGATTAAAATAATATCATACTTCAAATTTTTAAATTGTTATTTTTTGTAATAATTGAGACAATAATGAAAAATTCAAAAATATTCAAATTGCTTACTTGCAAGTTTTCTTTCACTTCTTTTTTCTCTGATATTAAATGGAAAAATACTTACGTAACTTTATTCTCTTAAAATCTGAAATTTTACTTTACGAAGCACTTAAAACAAAACCCAAAGGCACCCGTCGAAATACTTTCATTGAGAGAAACCAGGAAAGCCTTTATGAATTCTAATTAAAAAATTTGTCAACAATTTTTTGTAACGTGAAAATAATTTTCCATTGGCACATCAGAAATTTTTAACGATTCGATAATTAGATAAAGGTACTGTGTACTAATCAAAAATTTTAGCAGAAAAATTTAGGTAGCATTTAACTTTAAAAAAAAGAAATAAAAAGAAGTAAATATTGCATTTTATCCAAGTTAAATTTCCACAAATATTTAATTGCATATAAGAATGAGACGAAAAAACTTCTTTTTTTACTATAAGTTGCCTTTAGTATTAAAGATCCAAATTTGACTACCATCAGTAACTTTTTTGAGAACGCTGCTATGTATCACAAAATTTTTGTTCCAAATCAATCAAACAAACATAACATTACATGTAAACATCTTAAACAGAACTTTTTAAAAAAAGAAGTTGCAATTGCACAACATGTTTTGACAAAAAATATACAAGACTTTTAAGATGAAAGTTTAAGTACTATTCTTTTCTGCATTGATTGGGAATTTTTATCATAATGTAAACGTTATTCAGCTTAAAGTCAAATAAATTTTTACGATTATAATTATTTTACAATTATATTATTTTAAGCATGATAAAAAAAAGCATAAACTTTTTGTCTTAAATTTCAAACGAATAATCATGGGAAAATTTCTAAAATTAAAGTAATACACATAATGCTGATAATAAAAATACTCACAAGTTTGAGATAGACTTTAAATTCAGCGTTAAAAGAAAATTTCTTCCAACATTATACCGAACGTTTAAAAATAACCAAAATTTTAAATATATTGAACTGTTTTCATGATACTTGAGCACTATCTACTATTAAAAAATTTTCTAACGTTGTATTTTGTAAAATTTTATCAATGCAAATATCATACCTGACAAATCAATTTTCTTAAAAGTTTGAAGATTTATTAAAGTTGTAGAAGAAATTACACGCTACAGTAATTAAGAAGAAAAAAAACCATGATAAACATTACAACTATTTCACAGCATAATGAATTTATAACAAAACACCCTATAAGATAAACTTCATCCAACTGTAAATGCAATATATATTACTTTCATTGTTTGAAATAAACGTCAATAATCTTTTGGTAAAACACAAGTTAAAAATACGTAATTGTTATTAAAAAAAATAATTTTTTTTCATGACTATAGAACTATTTGACATACACATACTATACTATTGCATATACTGTTTGAGTTTATTCCTCCAATTGTAAGTCTTTGTTTACTTGAAATTATATTTCCAAGCAGTTATTAATTAGAGGTGTAAATTGGTTGATAATTGGGGGAATGAGTTTGGTATCACTGAATGGATATTTTCATAGGTTACATATTAAAGTATTGGAGTCTTATTTTCCTTAATTACTTAAGTATTTCTGAAAATATTAAGAGAGCATTATTTAAATTTTTTTTCTTCAAAACATAGTAATCGAGTAAATAATTTCCTTAATGATCGCCAGTAATCGTAAAAAATTATGCAAAGAGAAAAATGGAAAAATAATATTGCCGTCTTTCTTTTCAGGTTATAATAGGAAATATATAGTTATTTCTCCTGCAGAGTTAGTTTGAACATGCTATTGAAGTTTGATTAATTTATAGCACACATAGCCTACAATTTAAAAAAATTTTCTTCTGCATACCTGGATTTATTTGAAACCACTTTTGATGAAAGTATTTCACATATTTTCCAAAAATACACATACATATCTAAAAATATTTAAGAAAAAAAAAAAAAAAAAAAAAAAAAAAAAAAAAAAAAAATCGAGGAAAAAAAAAGACTTTGTTCAAAACACGCGAGGTTAAGAGAATAGGTGGTGCTAACATCGGAGTTTATAAAATTTATTTTGAGTTCGGTAGAATATACACCGAAGAGCCATTACATTATGACAACCCTCGATCTATAACAATGGGCTCGCCCAGGTTTTCATGGTTTCTCGCCCAGGAACAATGCTTTCATGGGGCACATTAGGACCTATAATCCTCATAGAACAATCCCTAACGTCTGTAAGCTACTTGAACATAGTTGCAGACCAGGTTCACCCATTCATGGCAACAGTTTTTCCTGCGGGGAATGGTGTTTACCAACAGGATAATGCACCATGTCATAAGGGTCGAATCGTCATGGATTGGTTCGAGGAACATTCCAGTGACTTTCAAGTCATGTCTTGGCCCCCAAATTCACCTGACCTTAATCCAATAGAGCATTTGTAGTCCTACTTGGAAAACCAAATTCGTGCTGCCACGTTACCCCCTCGCAATGTGAGGGAATAGCAGGACCAGTTGGTGAGCGCTTGGTACCAGATACTTCAGACTACCTATCAGCACCTTGTGGAATCAATGTTACGGCCGGTGCTAGCAGTTTTGAGGGCTAAAGGTGGTCCTACATGTTATTAGCAGGGTGGTCATAATGTAAGGGCTCTTCGGTGTATGTTTCTTAGTGTTACAATACGGTATTTTTTAAAGTTTATCAAGTATCTTTGTCAAGTTTGTGAAATTTTATGAGTCGGATTATTTTATATCATCCCACACATAGTTTAAATTTTTTTGAAACATCTGCTGTTTCAAAGGTTTCAAACTACATTTAAATATTATGGGCATTCTTTCCAATAAATCGTAAATTATTAGATTTTTGGTCTCCTTTCTCCTTTGACTCATTTTGAATATGTATGAACTCACAAAATTTCAGTTAATACTAATAACCTCTTAAAATGTTTGTGTCACCAAATATGTAACATTAGGTTAAAAAAAATTTTTTTTTTTTTTGCTTTTTTAGAAAAAAAGAAGAAGAAGAAAAAAANAAAAAAAAAAAAAAAAAAAAAAAAAAAAAAAAAAAAAAAAAAAAAAAAAAGGTAAGATTTATACAAAGAGCGAATTATCCTGCATTTAAACTTTGTGCACCACCATTCTCGTTCGAGTTAAATAACATTATTATAATAAATTTCTACATTTTTTTTCTTCAGAAGTAGTGGTAAGAATGCAATAACCTTAGCAAAACAGTCGCTATTCTTTTAATGAAATATATCTAGAAAATAAAGCGGGAAACTATCAACACGGGAAACTATCAACACAATAGTTATATATCACTACAGACGCC